GCATTTATTAGCAATAGAGTAGTCTTTATTGTAATAATTTATACATGTAAAATATCTATAAAAGCACTACTTTCTAATCTTTCAAGAAAGTTAAATGTCTTCATATATTTCATAGTTAATAAACTAAATGCAATATTTAGTATTTTCATATACTATCTATTGTTGCCTCTGCCTTAAAATCCCAAATCACTTTATATTTTGTTAAGTCTTGTGTAGACTTTTGTATAGAACCTATCAAGTTATAGTTATCATACTATAGTTGAGCAACTTCTGTTATTACTGTAGTTAAAGAAAAAACTATAGGTTAATATTATATATTAAGATTAACAGTTATATTAGTATTTTAATTTAAAAATATAATTTATATATAATTATTTAAATAAATTTTTATTGTAATATTATAATATTTAATAAAAAAACTCAGATTTTTCCAAAAGCTACTCAGATTTTTCCAAAGGAGATTTAATATTATATGCTATGATTAGTTATTCAATCAATTCAGATTCATGCAAAAGCAACTTAGATTTTTTGTAAAAGAAGTTTGATATTACTAATATAATTGGACGATACTCCAATTAACTCAGATTTTTTGCAGAAGTAATTCAGATTTTTTGTAAAAGAAGTTTAATATTACTGATATAATTGGATGAAACTCTAATTGACTCAGATTTTTTGCAAAAGAAGTTTGATATTACTGATATGATTAGATGATGCTTTAATCAACTCAGATTTTTTGTAAAAGTGATTCAGATTTTTTGCAAAAGAAGTTCGATGTTACTGATATGATTGAATGATGCTCTAGTTGACTTAAATTTTATGCAGAAGTAACTTAGATTTTTTGCAAAAGATGTTTAATATTACTAATATGATTGGATGATGCTCCAATTGACTTAAATTTTTTGCAGAAATTACTTAGATTTTTTCAAAAGCAATTTGATATTATACAATATGATTGGATGACATATCAATCAACTCAGATTTTTCCAAAAGTTGATTAAATGATGCTTCAAATAACTCAAATTTTTCTAAAAACTATTTGTGATAATAATTTCTGATTAGCCAATGATCAAACTATTTAGATTTTTATTGAAAACCTATTTATGATTATGATTTATGATTGGCTAATAATTAAACTATTTGGAGTTTTACTAAAAACCTATTTATGATTATAATTTATGATTGACCAATAATTAAACTATTTGGATTTTTACTGTAAACATATTCAAATAACTTATTAAATATTTAATTTTAAAGTAATAATTTATATTGTGATTGACAAAATATATTAATTACTTTATTTTTAGATTAGAATTTATATTGTAATTGGCAAATATGCAGTTATTTTATTTTTAATTTATTATTTATATATCGATTAATAAAACAACTTTTTCAATTTTTTTAATCTAATTTGGATATGTCTAATTAGGAAGTTCATTTAGATAAAATAAATTGTTTATCAGTAACTGTAATGGTGAGATGGTTGGTCAACTAATTAAATCAAACTTATATGTAGACCTATAATAAAAACAATTAAGCAATTTTTTAAATAGGAATATATTATTATACAAATGAATATCATTTTTTAATAGGAATTTATTATATGTAAGTGATAGATTTTTGAAATCTAACTTCTCTTGCAGTATTAGTTCTTTAAATTTAAGAACAATATGATATAGATTAAAAAGGCATGCTCTTTAATTTGTCATGAGGATTTTTCTTTTTGTATTTAAAATTTTAATATATTATATATTTATATAATCTAAATATATATTTATAAAATATTACTATAAAATTTTAAATGCAAAAAAAAAAATTCCTATGACAAATTAAAGAGTAAGCCTTTTTAATCTGTTTCATATTATTTTTAAATTTGAAGAATTAATACTGCAAGAGAAGATAGATTTCAAAAATCTATCACTTTTGTATAATAAATTCCTATTAAAAAATGATATTCATTTGTGTAACAATACATTCATATTAAAAAATTGCTTAATTGTTTTTATTATGAGTTTACATATAGGTTTGACTTGATTAGTTGACTGACCACCCCACTGTAATGGTTAGAATTTAAACTTTAATTATATTAGTATAAATACAAATTAATAATAAACAAAAAATAAAATAAAATTTATTTTTTTTTTTTTTAAATATTAAGATGAGTACTTGTGACCCAGAATTTTATTGATAGTACATTCAACTAATAATTGCATTACAACCTCAGGGGGCAATCATGGAAAGAGTGTACAACTAGTCACTCGTACAACTTTAGTCATTGTCTAATTTAAGTAATCTGCCCAAAGGTTCTACACTAGCTGCCATATCTGGAACCCACTTGTAGGTTCCCTATTTAACTACTCTGTTCTCATATCCACCTATCTACCTACATCTACTAAGATGCCCCAGTCGATACTGGTTCAAATATGCCATGGTTACTAAGTCTTTAAAGTGGTTCACTCATATGGGGAACCTTTGACCTTGTACTAAACCTTCCAGAATTTTCTGTATCCCATTCTTATAGCTGAACTGGTATTACTATGGCCAAGACCAACATTAGTGATCAGGGTGTATCATTAAACCACTATGCCCTTGTAGAGTTTATCCCAACCTTGGTACTGACTTCACAACATATCCTTACTACTTTGGTATTTAATTTAAGTTCTACCAAGCTGCCATTCCAGATAGCCCAGAAAGGTAGATCAAAACTATACATCTCTGGTTCATATTGTAATTCGGTGTTTTGGCGATTCTGTCTCTACTCTAATCCAACTCTCATGTAACCTACGGTGGCTAAGTCGAAATAGGCATGTTAGATTTGGCTGGGTGGTTTATCCATAGGTAAGTACTACTCTTCTCTTCTAAGTCTTTCCTTCAACCTATGCTTCCTTTAACCTTTGCCTTCTCTTGTCTTCTCCCGTATGTCTTCCTTAACTTGGGGTTACAATCATCAAATCGGGTTGGAGTCCTTCTCTTGCGTTATCGGCTTGGTCACGTGACTTGCGATGAACAAACAAAATGCGGTTAGGTGAGTTACAAACGAACGGATAATATGGATAACGAGGGTCTTTAATGATAGTTTTCAGTTTGGGTCACAGTTTACTTTTAATATGGGTCCGATACTTTAAGTTTATTTAAGCAGTTGTATTTACTTGGGGGTATCGCTTGTTACTTTCCCCCTGGGCAGATAGCCCTTTATTTATAATAAAGCATTTATTTACATTCGAGGATAATTTCCTCTACATTATCTATTTACACTATATCATTATGAAAACCCCTTTTCCTTCTATTCTAATGAAAAACTGAATGTACTATATGCCATCGATCTATCCGAAGTAATAAATATAACAAATGCAACAAAAGTAATAAAAGTAAGAAAAGTAAGATAAATCTTACTTTTCATGTGACTAATTGCTCGGGTAGGGGCGGGACCTAATTTTGATGATCGGTCACATGTGACCGTGATAACGTATGACCGATTTTGGGGCTCACATTTCTCCTTCACTTAGTTTATGCGTACCACGCATAAATAGGAGCATGACAGAAACTTTAGATCCTTGTGCCTCGATGCTTCTGTGGTGGGGTTTTTTTGTGGATCAATTACGGGGGCGGGGGAAGTATTCTTCTGGTCCTTTGTCTTTTCGTTTTCGATCAATTTTACTAACTTCTTTCTTCGGCATTTCATCTCTAGGTTCTCTTTCCTCATTGTTATTAGCTTCTTGCTCAGGTGGTGGTTCGGGTTCAATTTGTGTTGCAGTCGCTTCGCTGTTCAGTTCATCGACATCCTTTCGGGCCAACCTTCTTTCATCTTGCGTCAACTCCTCAGACTCTCTAGGTTTTGGTTCTCGTTCTGCGACTTTATCAGCCTTTTCTTCTGGTGATGGCTCTCTTCTTAGTAGCATTGGTTTAGGTTTTTTCGGTGTTGGCTTTTCTTGAGAGGTGGGTTTTGCTAATTCTTTCTGATTATGTTTTTCTTCGTCCTGCTTCCATTTTTCTAATCTCCACGATTTTTCTTCCATTCCACTAGACTTAACTTCGACCGCTTGATTCGTTCTAGATTTCAGGATAGGAGGTTTTTCAGATTGGTCATTTTCTTCGGCTATGGTAGGTTCTTTTATTGATTTTGGGTCATCTTGAATCAACTTTTTGAAATGATTAACTCTTCTATTCCAATCTTCACAGGCTTTGCCCAAGTTTTTCAATGTGGAATGTCGATGACTTTGCCCCTCAGGGTTCTTATTTTCAGTAGCTTTCTGAAAATATTCAAATGCTTTACGTTCGGCCTTTTTAACTCTAATTCCATCATCATCTTCATCACATATTGTATTACCATCATCATTGTCATTATTATCACCATCGTTGCTGTCATTATCATCGTCGTCATCATCGTCTAATACTTGACTGCTATCCTTTTCAACTTCAATTCCATTGGCGTCTTCATATATCACATTACTATCGTCATTGCCATCACCAGCATCGCCGTCATCTCCATCATCATCATTGTTTTCACTATTGTCATCTTCATCACAGATCGCATCTTCATCCAATGCTTGATGACTGTCCTTTTCAACTTGAATTCCATTTTCACTGATATTTAATGTTCTATCAGCATTCCCTATTTCTGCAGATTGTTGATAATATTCAAAGGCATTACATTCATCCTTTTTAGCTCTGATTCCATTTCGATAGAACTGTCCACAGACTTTTCGTTCATCCTTTTTCAGTTCCGTTTTGGCCATGTCGTTTTCCTGCACAGGTTCCTGGATGGCATCTTTCGGGGCCCACTTTCGTGTGAGAGCTTTGCATTCAGTAATTAGCTGTTGAAGAAGGTGGTTCAAGTCAAGAGGTTCTTTTGCGGGTTTGTTAAGATTGTTATAGGTGTTAGGTACTGTGGGTGTTGGTTGCAGTAACTTCAAGGGAACCTTCAGCTTGGGGACTACAGACGGTACTAGAGGTGAAACCTTTTTCTTTTTCTTTATAGGTGGGATTGGATGGATATATGAAGGTAGATATCTGATGGTTTCTTCTTGGGTCTTGGTGAAATAATCTTTTCGTGACGCAGAGTAGAAATGATTGCGAGGGACGAGTTCATACGAAACATTCTCAAGCATGTCTTCTAATACTTTCAGCATAAATTTAAGAGCTTGAGGGAGTTGCTCATCGCTAATATAGTAATTTCCAAAGGTTTTATCAATGATTTTCTAGGCTTTGTCAGCTTGTTCTTCTGTAAGTGTTGTAGACAGTTTTGCGCATTTTTTTTCTAACTCTTTTATACCTAGATCTTTACTAACTATCCTATTTCTTCTTTTATTGTTGTTCAAACATGAAGTCCTCCTTTCTACGCTCTTTTGAGTCTTCTTACCATCCTGGAGACTTCTTGGGATACCAGGTAGTAGGATTTCTTTGTTAAGATAAGTATTCTTTCGTATCTATCCTTGTGATAGAACATATACTTTACTAACTCAAGTCTTTCTTCTTTTCGTATTTCACAGTCACCACCAAATATAATTCGGCGTTTCGGCGATTCTGTCTCTACTCTAATCCAACTCTTGTGTAACCTACAGCGGCTAAGTCGAAATAGGCGTGTTAGATTTGGCTGGGTGGTTTATCCGTAGGTAAGTACTACTCTTCTCTTCTAAGTTTTTCCTTCAACCTATGCTTCCTTTAATCTTTGCCTTCTCTTGTCTTCTTCCGTATGTCTTCCTTAACTTGGGGTTACGATCGTTGAATCGGGTTGGAGTCCTTTTCTTGCGTTATCAGCTTGGTCATGTGACTTGCAGCGAACGAACAAAATGCGGTTAGGTGAGTTACAAATGAACGGATGGTATGGATAATGAGGGTCTTTAACAATAGTTTTCAGTTTGGGTCACAGTTTACTTTTAATATGGGTCTGATACTTTAAGTTTATTTAAGCAGTTGTATTTACTTGGGGGTATCGCTTGTTACTTTCCCCCTGGGCAGATAGCCCTTTATTTATAATAAAGCGTTTATTTACATTCGAGGATAATTTCCTCTACATTATCTATTTACACTATATCATTATGAAAACCTCTTTTCCTTCTATCCTAACGAAAAACCAAATGTACTATATGCCGTCGATCTACCTGAAGTAATAAATGTAACAAATGCAACAAAAGTAATAAAAGTAAGAAAAGTAAGATAAATCTTACTTTTCATATGACTAATTGCTCGGGTAGGGGTGGGACCTAATTTTGACGATCGGTCACATGTGACCATGATAACGTATGACCGATTTCAGGGCTCACAACATGTTTACCAGCATGTGCCCTTTTCCTCTGAAACTAGAAAATTCTGATGGCCTGGTTGGTTCATCCGGTTCCTCCCCAAAGACTAGCACATTTGCCCAGTATCACAAGTTCTAGCTCCGTTTCATAAGTCTAGTCTTTACAGTAGCATCATCAAAGGTTCAAGTTACCTCTTTACTTGGGTTTTTTAAGTGGGCTTCCATCTTCCTACCTGGTTCCCTTGATTTACATGGCCTAAGGACTTATCTTGGGTTCACATCACATGGTACCAGTTTGTATTCCTTCATACAATGTTGTATGAGTGCCTTAGACCTTTCAGTCATGCTGGTATGACATGGGTTACAGGTATCCTATCCCAACTAATCACAGAAGACAGTTAGGCATAACACAGAAAGAATTGCAAATTTTCTCTGTCACTAGGATTTGAACTCTAGACCTGCCACTTGGAGGTTGACAACCTATTCACTTCACTAGGTCACTACACCCCTAAAATAGAATTTATATTGTTTTGCATTAGGAAGTTGTAATAATATTTATGATTAAATTATGAGATAAAAAATAAAAAAAAATAGCACAAAATATTACAAGTATACAAAGATAAGAGATGCAATTTGCCTAAGCTACAACTATGTTGAAAATTCAACTTATAGCCAAATTTTGTCCAGCACAAATTAGCAATCACATTAAGTTGTAGAGCTGTATGTTTACTATATATGTGTGGGTACAGATTGACACTTAGCTCCATCTACATGAACTGAATAATTTGCAGTTACTTAATTACTGTTCAGACTCACTGCAAGTTGTTGTTAACAATTGATTTTGAATTTTAATTTTAATACCAAAATCAAAATTAAAAAATCTAATTGTTAACAACATGTTTCAAAAATTTTAAAAAGATCAAAAATATAAATATATATAAATAACTTTGATTTACAATAAATGACAGCTACAGCAGAACTTTTAAAACAATAAAATATTGCTCTTTTAGCTGATAAAGAGCAGCTTATTTGAGAAAATAACAATTCAAAAGACAGAATTCAAGAAGTTGAAACTAATAATACTCAACTAATTGAAGAAAATAATAACTTAAAAGAATTAAATAATGCTTTAAAAATAGTTTTAAGAGATGCAGAAGATTAAAGGAATTATTATTATGCAAAAAATTTAGCTGAATTTGATAATTTTATTTCAAAGTACATTTTTAATTTATTTGATAATATTGGTATATAAGTACAATTTAATAATAGATACATGCCAAATATTGTTAATTTTTTGAGATTTTATAATTTTTTTCAGATTCTAGCTGTTTTTATTTACATTAAAATTATTTATATAAAGTTTTTGAGACCACTTTTTGTAATTCCTTATGTTAATATTACTGAAATGAAACATGTTAGAGTAGTAGAAATTTTATTTGTGAATGTTCTGACAGCATACTTTAGCATATATTTAATAATTTGTATATTTGGAAAATTTAAACAAGATTTGATTTATTATATTTTTTAAATAATATTTTTATTAAATAAATTATAATTTATTTAGATTTGCTTTGTCAGCAGCCTTTTTTTTTTCTTTATGCCTTACAAGTACTTATAGAAGACATGATATATATTTATGAATAAGCATTTGTTTCATGTCTTTGGGTCCCAACACTCCAACATGAAACACATTTAAATTCTTTTAACTATGAAAAAAATAGAAAACCATCACATTGTATAAACTAAATAATAATATTTTATTTAATTGAATAATAAATTATAAAAGTAAATTTTGATTCTACTTTATATTTTCTTGCTTTTTTGCTTTATTTATTGCTTGTTTTTTATTGTTTTTTTTTGGTATGCTGCTAGACTCACAATTGCTTATGGGTTGGTTGTTTTTTAATAATTAATAAGAATTATCATTTTGATACAAATTTATAATTGGGGCTCCAACTTCCTAATTGCCAATACAAATTCACATTTCAATTTTTATAAATATTATAAAAAATATGAAAAAAATTCATTAAAGTATATAAATTTTTATTTATTTAGAATATCAATATTAAAATAAAAATAATACATTTTATTTATTAAAACTAGTAAATTTTGCATACTAATTATATTTTTATTTAATT